GAAAAAAACGTTGCCGTGTCTGTTTTAAAAAGGGGGAAAGGACAGACACCCCTTTTCACTGTCCTGATTGCCCTTCGAAACCAGGACTGTGTGTAGGAACATGTTTCAAGCTGTACCACACAGAACAGTTGTAAGAAGTGTTCCTGAATTTTTATTTTATTTTTTGTTTCTTTGGAAAGCAGCCATTTTTTGTTAGTCAGTTTACTTCCCCCAAATCTCCAGTTAGATTCTATTTGCAGGAGTCAGTTTAAAGATTGCTGCTAAATGTACATTGCTACCTGCACATTTGGTCTAACAAGTTTTCTGGCAGTAACACATAACCAGCTGGCCAAAACTAGATGACGTGTGCATAAAAAACAGAATTAAAAAATTACCACTACACTTTCTTTGGGGGGCAAAATGGTTGGGGGAAAGAAGTCAAAACACCCCATCTTCTATAACCTTTGATGTCTACTTTATAAAAATATATACTTTATATACTGTCATGATGGTAACATTAACTGGGGGTGTGCAAAAATATGTCAAACTGAAGATAGACCAAGCATACTTATATATCAAGTTGGAAAACTGACATGTACAAATTCTGATTGTTGTCTTTTGGCCCCCAAACAACCCAGCAACCCTATACATGGGGGGTATCACTGTACTCGGGAGATGTTGCTGAACACATATTGGGTTGTTGTTTGGCAGTGACACATAACAGGATCTGTTAATTCATGCCTAAAGTACAATGTGTGTGAAAAAAACTTTTAGCCCCCCAACACACCTATACATGGGGGGGTATCACTGTACTCGGGAGATGTTGCTGAACACATATTGGGGTGTTGTTTGGTAGTGACACCTAACAGAATCTGTGAATTTATACCTGAATTGCAAAGTTTGGCAAAGGTTTGTGGTAAAATGGCTGCATAGAAAATATCAAAATATTCTTAGATGAATACCCTGGGTTATCTAGTTTAAAAAAAATATATACATGTGGGGTGTTTTTTTGGAGATTCATGACATAACAGTGTTACAATGTCACTATTGATACATTTGAAAAATTTACATTTTGAAACCGCAATTTCCTACTTGTACTTATAGCCCTATAACTTGCAAAAAAACACATAAACATTGGGTGTTTTTAAACTCAGGACAATGTTTTGAATCTATTTAGCAGTTTGTTTCATTCGATTTTGTAGATCAGTAAAAGATTTTTTAAGTAAAAGTAAAAAAAAAACATGTTTTTTTTAATTTTTTACCATATTTTATTATTAATTTTTAATTAAATTATATGACATGATAAAAATAATAGTATGTAAAGAAAGCCGTTTTTGTCCTGAAAAAAACAATATATAATTTGTATCGGAACAGTAAATGAGAGAGCGGAAAATTACAGCTAAACACAAACACCACAAAAGTGTTAAATAGCTCAGGTCCTTAACGCACAAACATCGCAAAAACAGTCCGGTCCTGAAGGGGTTAATAGGCCAAAGTAGTTGTACTGAAACATTGATTACATGCAAATGTATGTCTACTTAAAATAAAGGCGCTCTTTTGTTTATTTTGAAGCCCTATATGCGTTCCTTCGTTGGAGTAAGAGTTTTCAATTTCAAGTTATTTTTTCAGCCTCTATATCTGCACACTATGCTGGCGCGAATTTTTTTCCAGGGCTGATTTTAGTTCCCAGTCCGGCCCTGTTTTTATCTACTGATGCCGAAGTGAAGTACACCTAGTACTTTGTGCGCTATCACCTCATTTTCTTCCAAGATTCTATGTATGTATAAGTGTGATGTTGGTATAGCACTTGGGTGATTTTAGCTGCACGGTTTTAGGATACTATTGTGGCGCCATTGTCTTTAATTTCTTGTATATGTTGGTTCAATGCTCTTCCAGGGTAGACCATGCGCAAAGCTCTGCTGAAGAGCTCTAGCATGAGAAAAAGGCCCTGTGTTTGTTCTGCACAGCGCAAGCAAATTTAATGACATGCTTGCGCTGTGTTTACTTGTGACTTGTCTCTGGTTCTTCTGGTTCTCCATTAGTGGGATACCAGAGGAAAAAACGTCCAGAAAGTGACTAGTGGCTGTCTGGAAGACTACAGGCGTGTGTATCCTGCAATGTAAACATTGCTTTTCCCAAAGAACGGGCATGTTTTACATTACAAGGTTTGAACAGACAGTGACATGACACCCGGATCATTGAAATTAAATGGTCTGGGTGCCTTTAGTGTCCCTTTAGTGAAAGGTAAGTGTAGGTGGCTTTGACTATGACTAGAAAATAGCGATAAGTGTCTGTCGATATCCGTATGGGTATAAACGTCTGTTCCCACCCTGTGTGTGAGATATATATGTATTTTATTCTACTACACAATGTGAACATTCCTGCACCAGCTGTACATTACCCAAGTTATTCCTCGGAAATATCCCTCACGACATTTTAAACAAATGTTTCTTTTCCTGGACCGCTAATAGAATCAAGCTCATTTAGTGAATTGGTTAATCTGACGATCATTAATGAACTATTTTTAGTTTGTGGTTATTTGTATTACTGTGCAGTTCACATTTTTGTCCATTAGTAAATGGGTCAATATCACATTAAACAGTGTAATAACGGCTGAGTGTTTTATTGTGCCAGATTCTCGTTGAGTCAGGTCATACAGAATGTTCGCAATCACTGCTGTTCAGCAATTTACCTAACACACCATATTATAAGTGGATTAGAATTAGAACACCCGCAACAACTGCGTTTATAAATGCGCAGCACTGATAGTGACTCACCTATCACTGGAGGGAGTACGTACGCATTCACAGGCAGGTTACAGCTACTGTATTTCACGATCTTATAACAACCACAGCCGGTGTCAGATGATCACTCTCACCCAATGATGAGTGTCTGTGCATCGACATTTGCAGAATTAGCCAGAGTCCCTAAGGGAAATGCGAGAGGTGGATTTACACCTCTGGCTGCAAAAGGGTTAAATTCAAAGTGAAACGCTGCTCATGCAGTCTCCAGGCAGCCAAGGAAAGCTCTTGAATAGTTTGACAAAAAATTGAAAGACTGTACCCATAACAAAGTATAATGGCTGTGGTGCTTGGAGTGTCCCACTAATCAGTTTGCAAGATGTGTGCTATTTAGCCGTTTATCATTTAGCTTATCATTTTCAGACAAGGTCTGAACAATAGTATCTGATCTCTTCAAAGCAAAATTACATCATTATTATTATTATTATTTACAAAGCGCCAACAATGGGTGGACTAACAGACACGTATTTGTAACCAGACAAGTTGGACACACAGTAACAGAGGGATCGAGGACCCTGCTCAGTGAGTTTACATGTTAGAGGGAGTGGGGTATAGTGACACAGTAACAGAGGGATCGAGGACCCTGCTCAGTGAGTTTACATGTTAGAGGGAGTGGGGTATAGTGACACAGTAACAGAGGGATTGAGGGCCTGCTCAGTGAGTTTACATGCTAGAGGGCGTGGGGTATAGTGACACAGTAACAGAGGGATTGAGGGCCCTGCTCAGTGAGTTTACATGTTAGAGGGAGTGGGGTATAGTGACACAGTAACAGAGGGATTGAGGGCCTGCTCAGTGAGTTTACATGTTAGAGGGAGTGGGGTATAGTGACACAGTAACAGAGGGATTGAGGGCCTGCTCAGTGAGTTTACATGTTAGAGGGAGTGGGGTATAGTGACACAGTAACAGAGGGATTGAGGGCCTGCTCAGTGAGTTTACATGTTAGAGGGAGTGGGGTATAGTGACAGTAACAGAGGGATTGAGGGCCTGCTCAGTGAGTTTACATGTTAGAGGGAGTGGGGTATAGTGACACAGTAACAGAGGGATTGAGGCCCTGCTCAGTGAGTTTACATGTTAGAGTGAGTGGGGTATAGTGACACAGTAACAGAGGGATTGAGGGCCCTGCTCAGTGAGTTTACATGTTAGAGGGAGTGGGGTATAGTGACACAGTAACAGAGGGATTGAGAGCCCTGCTCAGTGAGTTTACATGTTAGAGGGAGTGGGGTATAGTGACACAGTAACAGAGGGATTGAGGGCCCTGCTCAGTGAGTTTACATGTTAGAGGGAGTGGGGTATAGTGACACAGTAACAGAGGGATTGAGGCCTGCTCAGTGAGTTTACATGTTAGAGGGAGTGGGGTATAGTGACACAGTAACAGAGGGATTGAGGGCCCTGCTCAGTGAGTTTACATGTTAGAGGGAGTGGGGTATAGTGACACAGTAACAGAGGGATTGAGGGCCCTGCTCAGTGAGTTTACATGTTAGAGGGAGTGGGGTATAGTGACACAGTAACAGAGGGATTGAGGGCCCTGCTCAGTGAGTTTACATGTTAGAGGGAGTGGGGTATAGTGACACAGTAACAGAGGGATTGAGGGCCTGCTCAGTGAGTTTACATGTTAGAGGGAGTGGGGTATAGTGACACAGTAACAGAGGGATTGAGGGCCCTGCTCAGTGAGTTTACATGTTAGAGGGAGTGGGGTATAGTGACACAGTAACAGAGGGATTGAGGGCCTGCTCAGTGAGTTTACATGTTAGAGGGAGTGGGGTATAGTGACACAGTAACAGAGGGATTGAGGGCCCTGCTCAGTGAGCTTACATGTTAGAGGGAGTGGGGTATAGTGACACAGTAACAGAGGGATTGAGGGCCCTGCTCAGTGAGCTTACATGTTAGAGGGAGTGGGGTATAGTGACACAGTAACAGAGGGATTGAGGGCCCTGCTCAGTGAGTTTACATGTTAGAGGGAGTGGGGTATAGTGACACAGTAACAGAGGGATTGAGGGCCTGCTCAGTGAGTTTACATGTTAGAGGGAGTGGGGTATAGTGACACAGTAACAGAGGGATTGAGGGCCCTGCTCAGTGAGTTTACATGTTAGAGGGAGTGGGGTATAGTGACACAGTAACAAAGGGATTGAGGGCCTGCTCAGTGAGTTTACATGTTAGAGGGAGTGGGGTATAGTGACACAGTAACAGAGGGATTGAGGGCCCTGCTCAGTGAGTTTACATGTTAGAGGGAGTGGGGTATAGTGACACAGTAACAGAGGGATTGAGGGTCCTGCTCAGTGAGTTTACATGTTAGAGGGAGTGGGGTATAGTGACACAGTAACAGAGGGATTGAGGGCCCTGCTCAGTGAGTTTACATGTTAGAGGGAGTGGGGTATAGTGACAGTAACAGAGGGATTGAGGGCCTGCTCAGTGAGTTTACATGTTAGAGGGAGTGGGGTATAGTGACACAGTAACAGAGGGATTGAGGGCCTGCTCAGTGAGTTTACATGTTAGCGGGAGTGGGGTATAGTGACACAGTAACAGAGGGATTGAGGTCCTGCTCAGTGAGCTTACATGCTAGAGGGAGTGGGGTATAGTGACACAGTAACAGAGGGATTGAGGGCCTGCTCAGTGAGTTTACATGTTAGAGGGAGTGGGGTATAGTGACACAGTAACAGAGGGATTGAGGGCCCTGCTCAGTGAGTTTACATGTTAGAGGGAGTGGGGTATAGTGACACAGTAACAGAGGGATTGAGGGCCTGCTCAGTGAGTGTACATGTTAGAGGGAGTGGGGTATAGTGACACAGTAACAGAGGGATTGAGGGCCTGCTCAGTGAGCTTACATGTTAGAGGGAGTGGGGTATAGTGACACAGTAACAGAGGGATTGAGGGCCTGCTCAGTGAGTTTACATGTTAGAGGGAGTAGGGTATAGTGACACAGTAACAGAGGGATTGAGGCCCTGCTCAGTGAGTTTACATGTAAGAGGGAGTGGGGTATAGTGACAGTAACAGAGGGATTGAGGGCCCTGCTCAGTGAGTTTACATGCTAGAGGGAGTGGGGTATAGTGACACAGTAACAGGGATTGAGGGCCTGCTCAGTGAGTTTACATGTTAGAGGGAGTGGGGTATAGTGACACAGTAACAGAGGGATTGAGGAAACTGCTCAATGAGTTTACATGTTACAGGGAGTGGGGTATAGTGACACAGTAACAGAGGGATTGAGGCCCTGCTCAATGAGCTTGCATGCTAGAGGGAGTGGGGTATAGTGACACAGTAACAGAGGGATTGAGGGCCCTGCTCAATGAGCTTACATGCTAGAGGAGTGGGGTATAGTGACACGTAAGGGTAGGGTAGAAAAGTAGGTTGTTCATTGAGGGTAAAAGTAAGTGTTCATTGAGGGCTTAGTGTTTTGTTTTGATGACAATTTCTGGAGAGGAATCAGGGTGCGGGGAGAGAAAGCTGTTCACTGTTTAAATAATGTGCTTTTCTGAAGAAGTAAGTTTTCAAAAATAATTTGAAGGAGTGGAGATTGGGTGAGAGTCTAACAGAGAGGAACGGTGCAGCCCTAGAGAAGTCTTTAAGGCGAGCATCAGAGGTTAGAGTACGAACTGAGGTTAGGCCTAGGTCTCCGGCAGAGCGTAGGGGCCTACATGGGATAGATTTGTGTAATAGTGAGGATAAGTAGGAAGGAGCAGCATTGTGTAGAGATTTGTAAGCAAGTATCAGGATCTTAAATTGAGTCCTATATCTTACAGGAAGCCAATGTAGGGACTGACAAAGGGGGAGGCGTGGGAGGTGCGGATGCACTGTAAACCATTATATTTAAAGGAACACAATAGGTGTGCCTAGGGCTGCATAAACAGAAACAAAAATGATTTAACTCCTAAATGGCAGAGAATTGGGCAGTGAGACTTCAGAGGCATGAACTATACACCAGATAAAATTGGTTTGGTGATAGTGTCCCTTTAAGAAACATATAGTTAATTTAGCTGAATGTTCTGCCCAGTGATGATATATGTCACAATGTTCAGCCACCGAATGCTGTATGCTCCATTAGAATTCAGAGTGACAGAGTTATTTACTAAAGTGAGATCTCAAAGTTAATTTCACATTTTAGGCCAAAGCAGTTAAACTAAAAGCATAGCTGACTTGGAGAATTTTTCCAGTTCGGCCCTTTTGGCCTTGAAATTCCTTTTGATATAACTGTCCTCCTCCAGGACTGATATTTTCTAGCTGTCCTTTATTAACACACCGATGGATGGAACCTTCAGTGCTGTTTTTTTCTCTGTACTCACATATATATTGAGTTGGCACCCTGTGAGGACAAACTATAGATCAAACCGTATGATCTCTGCGTGACATGTTACACGTTAACATTAGACGTGTTAAGTTACATTGTCTCGAAAGAGCTGATCTCTTCCCACACGCTGCTGATTCTCTTCGCACGATTTTGATTTATTTATTTTTCCTTCATTTCTCTTGACTTTGAGTCATTGTCACTTTCTCAACACGTGGGAGTTTATTTTTGTACTCCGGTTTTTTTACCAAGTATTCCTAGTTATATATACATGTTTTGCTTCCATGAATCGTGTATTTTGCCAACTGATTCTCGAACCTTTCAGTTTTAAGATTTGGTCAGAGGTGATGGTTCAGATTGCCAGCGAGACACTTCTGCCTAAACTGCAGAACAACTCATGGAGTAAACGATTCTGTTAAACTAATCATGGTGGAATGATTTTAAAACCTTAAAGGACCACTATAGTGCCCGGAAAACATACTCGTTTTCCTGGCACTATAGTGCCCTGAGGGTGCCCCCACCCTCAGGATCCCACTCCCGCCGGGCTGGATGGCAAGGAAAGGGGTTAAACTTACCTTTATTCCAGCGCCGGGCGGGGAGCTCTCCGCCTCCGATCCTCCTCTTTGGCTGAATGCGCATGCGCGGCACGAGCTGCGCGCGCATTCAGCCAGTCTCATAGGAAAGCATTCATAATGCTTTCCTATGGACGCTGGCGTCTTCTCACTGTGATTTTCACAGTGAGAATCACGCAAGCGCCTCTAGCGGCTCTCAATGAGACAGCCACTACAGGCTTTAGAGGCTGGATTAACCCATTTATAAACATAGCAGTTTCTCTGTAACTGCTATGTTTATAAAAAAAAAAAAGGGGTTAATCCTAGAGGGATCTGGCAACCAGACCACTTCATTAAGCTGAAGTGGTCTGGGTGCCTAGAGTGGTCCTTTAAGGGCACAGTTTCAGAAGTAAAAGGCCAGCGTGACAGAAAATGTAAGGGGTTAAATAGACTTATACACAAAAGAAACATTTGGTTTGTACAAACCATTCTTCTGAATTCCCTTGCCTTTTCACTTGATTCAAAAAGGATTTGAGCAACCATTTGGCTTCTGAATTTGATAAAGAAATTTGTTATTTTAATAAATTGCAGACAGACCCCTATTAACACTTGAAGTACCAGAAGGGCGCAGAGAAGCAAGACTTGTTTATGTGCCATATATATCAGTGGTAGAAACGTATCCAACTAAATACTAGGGATGTGCATGGGCAAAAAATTTGGTTCGGTTTGGAAATTCAAGTAAGTAAAAAAATTTGTCTGCTTCAGCAATTCGGATCAATGGCATTCGGCTTGGTACATCACTTCGGACATTCGTAAGCATCCAGATGTCTGAATGGCATGAAATTTGTACGAATGTACACTCGGAACGAAACGAATTGCACATGTCTACTTTATATATTCTATATAATAATTGGCTAAGGCTGTTTGTCCTATGCAGTCATGTGCAGTAGAGACTGCGCGAGACTGCATGGAACAAACATCCAATGCAAGGCGGCTCGCATATGTTGCACATGTCTAATAAATAAAATTGAAGATACTTGGTGTGCCTGGATCCTCTTTCTACCACTGATATCTTCTCCCTGGGGCTGGTGCTGACACTTTGTCCAGTTTAGCACCTGGATCTTCACGTGATTGGAGTGGGGCTAGATGGTGGTTTTAACACTATAGGGTCAGGAATACATGTTTGTGTTCCTGACCCTATAGTGACCCTTTAATTCATAGGTTACACACTTACATATACCCTGGTGAGTAGAATCATTACCTGCAGGCTTTTTGCTGTAAACACTGTCTTTTCAGAGAAAATGCAGTGTTTACATTGCAGCCTAGTGATAACTTCACTGGCCACTCCTCAGATGGCTGTTAGAGATCTTTCCTGGGTCATGGCTGCCTAAAATGCATCCAAACATTCAGTGTCTCCTCCCTTTGCATGCAGACACTGAACTTTCCTCATAGAGATTCATTGATTCAATTCATCTCTATGAGGAGATGCTGATTGGTCAGGGCTGTGTTTGAATTGTGCTGGCTCTACCCCTGATCTGCCTCCTTGTCAGTCTCAGCCAATCCTGTGGAGAAGCATTGTGATTGGATCAGGCCACCACTTCTGATGATGTCAGCAGACAGCTTGTTTTTCTGAGGCAAACAGCATGCAGAGCTACAGCTTCAGGCTTGAATACAAGTAAGATTTTGCTCTATTTATGGAGGCATGAGGGGCCCAGGGGGGCTAGATGGTGGTTTTAACACTATAGGGTCATGAATACATGTTTGCGTTCCTGACCCTATAGTGATCCTTTAATTCATAGATTACACACTTACTTCAAGCCATACCAATAAAGGGCACTGAAATGGGCTGCTGATGTTATTTTATTAGCCCAAGCATTAACTAACAAATCAATCAATCATTAATTCTTCCTCTTTAGCCTGAGCACCACAAAGGGGATGGGCTGCTGGGGACTCACATTTAGAAATAAAACATAAAAATTGGTTTTACACTGAATGGGATGATGATACCAGGGGTCTCCAAATACCATGACTAATGCACTGTGATGAACCAGTTACAGCGCCTACAATGTCCCTTCCAGGGTAGCGTTTTCTCAAAGTTTGATGCAACAAAGTTCGGTGACTGAACATGACAATTCAATAGTAGTTAGTGAAAGAATAAACAGAACAGTGAAGAAGATGAGTGAGTAAGACAAGGATTACAGTGATGTGAGAGTAGAAAGTATAGATAGGGTGTCTTGGAGTGTGCTGCACAAACGCTTAATAAATATTATTCTACTGTTTTTAATGAATCAGTTTTATGAAAAGAAAAGTATCAGATTTGTTTTTTTCTTGGACAGATACAAGAAACTTGCATTCCGTGAGCGTACATTGTTGTTTAGTCGTGTGTCATTTTAATACCATGTAATGCTTGGGGGACAAAAAAGTTAAATATTTTTAGTTTCAGAGAACAAATGAGATTGAGCTGCACATTTCCCTGGTGAGTAAAAGTGATAAGTTTGTGTTCATTAAGTCGGGACCATCTGGTGTCAGAATCTGTCAGTCTGTGAATCAAACTCCAGGGATCAAATTAACCATCATACCCGTTGTGTAGTGCACTCCAAACTCTACTTTTCCTACCTACTTTCTACGCCGATGAACTAACATGAGCAGTATATTAAAAATATTGGTCTAGATACTGTACAATGCCATGCTGCGAATATGCAGAGTATCCCAGACTTTGGGATGTAGTATCAGCTATACACGATACAATTTATGCTGCCAAGATGCTATGGAAACTGAACACCTCCTTTAACTGTCTGAATATTCAAAAATGTCCAAATTCATGGTTTGGTAATTCCGTGATAATGAGCACACAGTACCTCTGTGAAAGTGAAGTCACTCTATTCAGG